AAACTAATATGACACAATATAGTCCAATGTACCAAATACGGTGTGTATGTGTATATAACAAGAATGTAATATGCATATATATATATATATATATATATATATATGTATATATGTATATAGATAAGATATGTACTATGCCAAACTCGTATATTCATCACAATTAATGCTTATACATACATACATACATACATATATATATATATACATATACACCACAAAAACACACGTGTATTCATATGAAAACATATATTTTCGCATAAACAGCAAAATAGGTATGTCTAACATACAATACATATTGTGCAACAAGACATACAGAAATATTAAAACACTACATACGCATAGTCGTGTATGGAAATATGTATACATGTTTAAGATAATAAAGAAAATATGTGAACATAAACATACATCTATGACAATAACCTATACACATATGATGCACGTGTATATATGCACGTACATGTGTAACATGTTTATAGTATTGTATGTGTATATATGTACATGTATATACATATATATATATATATGATAGAGGGCGGGTGCCTGGGGGAGTGTGGCAAACGACCTGGCGCCGAAACCGAATTCCTGAAGCCGCAGTGCTTTAAGTGACGCCGAATTGTGACGCCACATTGTCTGACGCCGAATTGTCCCCTGACGCCGAGTTGGGTCGTGACGCCGAATTGTTTCCTGACGCCGCATTGGTGACGACGAATTGTGAAGCCGCATTGGGTGGTGACACCGAATTGCTGACGCCACATTAAGTGGTGACGCCGAATTGCTGACGCTGCATTAGGTGGCGACGCCGGATTGGTGACGCCGCATTAGGTGGTGACGCCGAATTCCTGACGCCACATTAGGTGGTGACGCCGAATTGTGAAGCCACGTTACACGTAACCCCTTGATCTGATGCCAGAGCCCAGAACCCTTGATCTACCCTTACAGATCTTGAACTGTGAGGGTGGGGCCTTGGACTGATGGAGCGCCCCTGATTTTCAAATCTGAGCTCATATAGATGTTGAACTGGGAGGAGAGGGCCTTGGACTGATGCTGCGCCCTTGCTTTTTGAAAAGCAGAACTCGTCTAGATCTTGTACTCCAAGGCTGGGGTTTCGGACGGATGGGGTGATCTCTTAAATCAGAACTCTTATAAATCTTGAACTTTGAAGATACGCCCTTGGACTGATGGCGCGCTCCTGATTCTTAAATCAGAACTCTTATAGATCTTGAACTCCGAGGATAAGGCGTTGGACTGATGTTGCGCCCCTGATGTTCAAATCAGAACTCTTATAGATCTTGAACTCCGAGGAGAAAGCCTTGCACTCATGGGGCACGCCTGATCCTTCACAACAGATCTCTGAGAGATCTTGACATCTGGGGATAAGGCCTTGGACTGACGGAGCGCCCCTGGTCTTTAATCAGCACACCTACATACAGATCTTGAACTCCGAGGCCCAACGTAGAAGCTGTGATTTGCAAATCAAAACTTTTACGGATGTTAAACTCCGAGAGAAGGAGCTTGCACTGATGGGGCGCCCCTGATTTTCACAAACAGAACTCTGATAGGTTTTGACCTCTCAGGATAGGGCTTTGGACTGATGGAGCGACCCTGATTTTTTACAGCAGAACTCGAAAAGATCTTGAACTCCGAGGGTGGGGCTTTGGGCTGATTGTGCACCCCTGATGTTTCGCAACAGAACTCTGATGGATCTTGACCTCTGGAGATAAGGCCCTGGACTGATGGAGCTCCCCTGACTTTTAATCAGAACTCTTACAGATCTTGAACTCCGAGGGTGGGCCCTTGGACTGATGGAGCGCCCATGAAGTTGAAATCAGAACTCCTTATGGATGTTGAACTCCGAGAAAAGGGCCTTGCACTGATGGAGCGCCCCTGATTTCACAAGCAGAACTCTGATAGATCTTGACCTCTGAGGATAAGGCTTTGGGCTGATGGGGCGACCCTGAGTTTTTAAAGCAGAACTCGAATAGATCTTGAACTCTGGGAATTGGGCTTGGGCTATTGCTGCGCCCCTGATTTTAAAATTTGAACCTTTACAAATCTTAAACTCCGAGGGTGGGGCCTTGGACTGGTGGGTCGCCCCTGATTTTGAAATCAAAACCTTTAAGGATCGTGAACTCCGAAAACAGGCCCTTGAAGTGATGGGGCACCCCTGGTTTTTCAATCAGAACTCTTATAGATCTTGAACATAAGACCTGGACTGATGGAGCGCTCCTGAATTTTAAATCAGGACTCCTATAGATCTTGAACTCTGAGGATAAGGCCTTGGACCGATGGGGCGCCCCTGATGTCTGAATCAGAACTCTCATAGATCTTGAACAACGAGGATAAAGCCTTGCACTGACGGTGCACCCCTGATTTTACCAAGAAAACTCTGATAGATCTTGATCTCTGAGAGTTAAGCCTTGGATTGATGGAGCGCCCCTGAATTTTCAACCAAAACTCTTACAGGTCTTGAACCTCGAGGGTGGGGCCTTGGACTGATGGGTCGCCCTAAATTTTAACGCAGAACCTTTATAGATCTTGAACTGGGACTGATGGGCGCCGCTAATGTTTTAAGTCAGAACTCTAGTAGATCTTGAACTCCGGAGGAGGGGCCTTGGACTGATGGAGCGACGATGATTCTTTCAATCAGAACTCTTACAGATCTTGAACCTCGAGGGTGGGGCCTTGGACTGATGGGTCGCCCTAATTTTTAATGAAGAACCTTTATAGATCTTGAACTGGGACTGATGGGCGCCCCTAATTTTTTAAGTCAGATCTCTTGTAGATCTTGAACTCCGGAGGAGGGGCCTTGGACTGATGGAGCGACGATGATTCTTTCAATCAGAACTCGTATGGATCTTGAACTCCGAGGGTGGGGCCTTGGATTGATGGGGCGCCCCTGATTTTTTCAAAAACCCTCATATAGGTCTTGAACTCTGAGAATAAGGCCTTGGACTGATGGCGCGCCCCTGATGTTAAAATCAGAACCCTTGCAAATCTTTAGCTCCGGGGGTGCGGTCTTGGACTGGTGGGTCGCCCCTGGTCTTGAAGTCAAATCCTTTAAATATCTTGAACTCCGAGAAAAGGTTTTGGAAGTGATGGGGCGCCCCTAAAAATTTACATCAGAGCTCTTATAGATCTTGAACTCTGAATATAAGGCCTTGGACCGCTACAGCGCCCCTGGTGTCTAAATCAGAACTCCTATACATCTTGAACAAGGAGGATAAAGCCTTGCATTGATGGTGCACCCCTGAGTTTACCAAGAGAACTCTGATAGATGTTGACCTCTGAGAATTAGGCCTTGGATTGATGGAGCGCCCCTGAATTTTCAACCAAAACTCTTACAGGTCTTGAGGCCTTGGACTGATGGGGCACCCCTGATTTTTCAATCAAAACTATTGCAAGCATTGAACTCCGAGCCTTTGACTGACTGGGCTCCCAAGATTTCGAAATCGGGACTCTTACAATGCTTGAACGCCGAGGCTGGAGCTTTGCACTGATCGGGCGCCCCTGTGTTTAACTCAGGACTCTCACAAAACTTGAACTCCGAGGATGGAGGCTTTCACTGCTGGGGCGCCCCGGATTTTTAAATCAGAACTCTCACAAACCTTGACTGGTGGGGACTCCGCTTGTCTAATGAGGATGCCTACGGTACTTCTGACCGCAGATACAGATTGAGCCATTTCCATACGTGCTCCTCTTCTCAAGAAGGAGCACGTATGGAGATGGAGTTGGGGGTGGGTTGCTTCGGTCATGCTAGCCAACCAATGGACGGCTGGGCGCTCACCATCTCATAGTCCGAACTCTGATACAACTGCATCTCCGAGGATGGAGCCTTGGACTGATGGAGAGCCCCTGATTCTAACATCGAATGTCATGCGAAACACATGCTCAGCCAACTGTCATGCGAGTCATGCATGTGAAGCTGCCCTCGCATTCTGCTCGTGGCCGCTATGTCGTGAAAGCGGCTTCGCAATGCGTCTGCACCTACCTGGACCGCAGCCTCGCAAAGTGTCTCGTGAAGCCGTCTTCGGTACCCCAATGCGTCTTCGCAATGCGTCTTCGCCTACCCAATGTGTCTTCGCAATTCGTCTTCGCCTATCCAATGTGTCTTCGCAATGCGTCTGCGCAACCCAATGCGTCTTCACAATGCGTCTGCGCCACCCAAGGCATCTTCACCCAATGCGTCTTCAGAATGCGTCTGCGCCTGCTAATAATGCGTCTGCGCCTATTAGGCCTTTTCTTGACGAATGTGTCTTCGCAATGCGGATGCGTCGTAAGTAGACGAAGTATATAATAAAGAATACAGACTTCACCTTTTGCAGAATATCGAACATAGAATACGTAATAAGCATTTTTGAACACGTGCATTGCTGCAATATGTGATACACATACGCAATATGTAATAAATGGTACATATTATAGAACACATAACGTAGAATAGAATCTAGCATATAGAGTATAGAACATAGATGTTTGTACTAGACAATATAACATATGTAACAAATAACTTAATGCATACCGGAAATGTATTTTATATTACATAAACACAATATACAATGATATGATATAACCTAATACCATAAAATCCAACATAATTCAGTGCATTATATGATGTGTCATATATGCTGTTATATGATCTGGAAAATATTAACACACAACACAATATGGCATGAAATAATACAGTACAATACGTTAAGATCAAGCGTAAGAAACTTTAACAAGATACAACTGGACAGGATGGAATAGAATGGAATATAAGACCATACAATATCCTTTGATAACAGGTGATAATATATTGCAATGGAACATCATGTAACATCATGTCATATTGCACAATATCATATGCGATGATACACTTCAGACAACATAATGGAGCCTGCTAAAACTATAATATGCGCACATCTAATGCAATACATATGTGTACAGTATACATCTATCTATCTATATATACATATATGTATATATATATATATATATATATATATTAGATACTTGTATGTTCAAGGTAGGGTCACTCGCTCCTTGGAATCCTGGGTCAGGAACTCCTTTCGAGTAACAATCCGCCGCACGCCGGCAGCCACCAGGGCCATAAAACATCGCTTGCACGGTGGCATCGTGATCTTAGTTTGTCAGCAGAGAGCTGCATGGAACCTCGCACCTCTCGGCTGCAAGTCGGACGCATGTTCAGACGAAGGCACGTAAACCGAGGAGCCTTCTGTGGACCGCCTCAGGAAGCAGCAAACGAGAGAGTGTCTTGGTTGCTGTTACTGAGGTTGGCTCCCCAGTCGTGCGCAGCGGCCGATGGCGTTCACCTCCGCGTGGAGGTCCGAGGCCGGGCGCCTCGGAGCGAAGCGAAGCGAGAAAAGCGCAGGGCCTTTTCGTAGGAAAGGAGTCCGCTTTAGAGGCTCGAAGCCCGAGAGTCGGCTGTGCTCTTTCGTCCCAGGCACTTGGCATTCGGTTCCCACACCGGGCCATTCACATGGCCTGCATTGCAGAGGTTGAGGTTGAGAGGTATTGAGAGTCAAGAGGTTCAAAAAGGGCAAGGACCTGCAATGATCATGCCGGACTGGTCGGCAATGGCACACCCCATGCTTCCGGCTTTGCAGCTCGAGTTGCGTGCCAGCAGCAGGGCAAGGTCGATACCTTGGGCTTGCCCAAACTGCACTGCGAGGTCAATGTCTTCAAGACCGATGCGTCGACAGCCTACCCAGAGCCCAGTGGCCGTTGCAGTCTCCACTCAAGTCTTCCAAAGGGGTCCAGCCAAAGCTCTGGATGTCCTCAGAATGTGCTCGTCTTTCGCTTGCACACCGCAGCCCGTGATCTTTTCTCCGACTCTCCTGTGGAAGCGCATCAGGCTCAAGTCCCAGCACCGGTGGACATGGCACTGGTGAGGCTTCAGCCATGCGCAGGTGAACTGCTGCGCTTCTCTTTATTGCAAAGCGCGTTTCTACTCGAGGACGAGTAAATAGAAAGATCACGAGGATGGTGCGGACAGAGTCAGAATCTCGTTATTGGCATGACTCCTCCGGAAATTGCTGGACTTTCATGAGAGCTCAAACTTCTCTTTTGATGTGTGTGTGTGTCTCAGCTGGCCGAGCCATCAGCGGACCGACGCGCTTTCAGGATCCTTAGCTTCTGTCCTGCGAGTCTTTTGCCAAAGCAAGACCTGGCTGTCTCGCGCCTGCGCAGCCCTCGGGACTGCGGGTTTCGGTGCCTGCGCCGGACTCGGCCGCGAGGAAAAATGCTGAGTCCTGAGCAGGGCCCACGCGAGCCCCCCGGAGCACTTGGAAGTGACTTTTAAGGCATTCCAGCAAGTCCCAAAGACCGGCCGGCCTGCTTGACGAGCTCTGGCCCTGGCAGACTGGACCGAGACTACGTTTCAGAATAGGTTCGGAGATTTCAGACTCGCTCCATGATAGTTCTCAGAGACGCTTGGGCAAAAAGAGCTGCAAGAGGTACGCAAGCGGTCTCCTGCTGCCAGTCGCCGTCTTCCCACTCGGCATCTTCCCAGTCCTCCTCCTCCTCCTCCCAGTCTTCCTGCAAAAAGGCAATCGACTGCGGCCTGAGCCGACTGCTCCAAGCAAAGCTGCTCTTGCTGAGCCTGCCAGTCTTCCGTTTCTTCCCAGTTTTCTTCATCCCACTCCTCGTTAGAGCTCAGTTGACAGGCAATAACAGACGCATGACACGCGCTTCTTCAATGCATGCAGAAACTTGGAACTTCCGTCCTCGTCCTGCCACCTGTTTGACTTGTACTTGGCCTTACACAACACTCATCAACGAGACCGATGAAACACACCGTGCTGTAACAGCCACTCAAGAAGGCACTCTGCGACATGAAGAAGCGAAACGACCATACAGCTCCGCGTCCTCGCCTCGCCCACGCGTTGCCGTTTGGCCTTCAGAAACACTGCGCACTCAATGCACCCGGTAAACGCACCTCTTCTGCTTGATTTGGGGCGCCGCCGGGACCGCCCAGACTGGAGCCAGAGCCCTGCTTCGGCTTGGCCCAAGCGGCGGCCGCGGCGGCGGCCGGGGCGGCAGCCGGGGCGGCGGCCGGGGCGGCGGCGCGGAGCTGGGCCTCGCGAAAGCGTCAGCGTCGCTTCTGCTTTTCTGGAACTCTCAGACCCAAAGGCAAAGAAAGCGCCCAAGCGAGGCAACCGAAGAGTGCTTTTCTCGCAGCTTTGCCCGTCAGGCAAGTCTCGGCTTTCGTGCCAAAGTGGTCACAGGAGCTTCGCGGGGCCGTGGCGGACCCAGCGCCGTACGCAGCGCATGCAAGGCAATGCCTCGACAAGGTCAAAGTCAAAGAAGGTGAGCATCCTGATGCATCCTGTACATCCTTCCTGCACTCCTCGACGTGCCTGCTGCCACACCGACATTCAGTGAGTCCAAGCCGTCCAAGTTCTCCCCCATGCGTGAGATGCCAACGAGCCTAAGCGCGGACGTCTTGCCATTTCTCGTGAGACCACCGTTGCCTCACATGACCAAGTCACCGGTCACAGCCACGCCGAACCTCAAACAGTCTGACAGCAAGTGATCCCCCCTGCACTCAGATCCTTGCGAGTCCGCATGCCCGGAGAGCGCGCCTGAGTGCGAAGGCCGGGGCCCTCTGGGCCGAGCAGGAGCAACACGCCCTGGTCCAGCGCTTGGCGCGTCTCCCCCAGCCAGTCGTCCAAGGAGCTGTAGGGAGGCCCAGGCTCTTTCCTGAAGCTCACTCGGGTGCATCCCAGCACTGCGTCGCTGCGTCGCCTCCCCGCTCGTTGCCTCGCCTGGGCAACTCCGGCTCTGCCGATTCCACCGGCAAGGCCGCGCCGACCACCAGCCAGCCCTGCCGCTGGGCCCTGCAGCACTGCCAAACGACTTGGACTTGGAGCGCTTGGAAGTCTCACAAAAGCCGCACCTTGGAAGAAGCGTCTCTAGATCCCTCGAGTGGAAGATGTCCATCATCTCACCCGCTCCGGCCTCAAAGGAAGGCGCCCGACCGTCACGGGATATAAACCAAGGCATTTGGCATGTCAAGCCTGCTGAGAGTCACACAGATGCTTTGGCCGCCACGGGTGAATAGCGGGCGCATCCATTCTCACAGATCACCCCTGAGGAGCGGGCCAGTGGCAAGGGTGGGGTGTACAATTAGCACGACATGGGAAGAAGTGCGAACCTGCCTTCCACGCCAAAGAAGGCTGCCGACCGCAGAAGCGAACCCAGGTTCATAGGGTCAGTCACGCCCTGCAGTTCGGCAAGACAGACAGCAACCTCAGAGTTCTGTGATGTTCTGTTTTGCCTCGAGGGCCAGCCAGAGGGCCCCTTTAGAAGGTCTTGGCAGCTCCTGAAACACGAAGACACGCTACGACTCGACAACGTCACTCAGTTGCCTGTCGCATGTCTCCTCCACCGTCTTGACAGAGGACTTCGTGCACTTCAGTACCAGTCCTTGCTCATCCGATTGCGCAGAATGCAGAAGCCATCTTGGAGTCCAGCAAAACTTTTTCAGGTTTTGGAAACCTTGCGGGGAGAAACACCGGAGTTCACGCTCAGTGACAGTGTATGTCATTGACGGCTTCCACAAGCAAAGCCCGCAACACTAAAAACCACAACATACACGCTACTGAAGCGAACACAGGCAGCATGTAACACTCGCAGAGGCATGTTTGCCCACCTTGATGAGGGCGACCTCCACTGTGTTCATCCAGCACATCTCGTTTAAAGCACCTCTGATGTGCCGTCAGGGCTAGTAAATGTTTTTGCTCACCAGATGAATAGGAGTCACTGCACAGGGAGTGGGGCTCTTTGTTCCGGCATCTCGCGTTCATCACGATGGCTTAGAGCCGTGCAGTTTTGTTCCTGCATGCTGGGCTATGCCTGCGCGGTATCATCTCAAACATACTTGCCAGGTACGCGCCGCTTGAGTATGTGCAATACTGACTGTGTGTTTTATCGCCGAGTGCAAGTGAAGCGAGTGTCCTGCTGGGCTGTCTATATCACTGTATGGCACTGATGGATATGTGAATCGTGCCCATGATGCCACTCACGTCTCGTTAGCCAGCGACGGTGCTTTGCTCTAAAAGAACATGTCGTTGCATGAAACTGAACTCTGATGCATGCACGGCACCGGAACAGCTGAACTCCCAACGACTTGCTGCGCTCCTCGATTTCCTGGCGTGCCTCGGGCATGTCGGAGGTAGAACACAGCTATTTTGATGGTTTGGCACGAACATGTCTCCGAAACCAGTGCATGGCCTCGTCATCCTTCCTGAGCGAAGCAGAGTAATATTACCAGTATGTCCCAGACGAGCTGTGTTCCGGCTGCAAGCTGCCTCTCCACCGTCACCGGGCCCCTCCTCTGTTGGATCCAGAGGGTCTTGAAGCTCCGCTTCCCCGCCCGCAGCGCAAGCAGGATCGGGTACACACCGAAGAGATACTCATTCCTCAGGCAAGTCAGACCCAGACCGTGCATGGCTGCAGAGCCTGACAGCCGCCTGTCTGCCTGTCTGAGCGAGGCGCAAGTTGTAGAATCCCGGCTTCGGCTTCGCTGGGCGCTTTGGGCTCCGGGAAGTCCGCGCTGGGCTTCGGGCGCCGACGCTGCCATCGCTTGCCAGGGCAAAAGCCAAGAGCATTGGTTTTTGGACTTCAGCCCTACATTGCAAGGATTTCGGCCTTTGTTTCAACATGAAAGCACTCTGTAGGGGTTCGTCTACATCTTGGCGGTCTCTGCTTGAGCTGAACGTGGCTGCCACGATCGGCCCTCCTTCGAGAAATGGCAGCTTCAACAGTGCTGTGTGCTGGGGCCCTGCCTGCTCCGGCCACCATGCGTTGGGTTGCGCTGCTGCCATGGCATTCTGCTTTAGTCTACCATGTTACTTACTCGGGGCAACGTAGCGGAAATGAGGACGGGACACAAAACACTTCACGTCAAAAATTGCACAGCTTTGCTGGGTGCTTCCGACACCAACGTGCAAACCCGAAGCTGCCATTGAATCATCGATTGCTTCCAGGTTCCTGCAAGAAGTTGAAGCCTGCCAATGCATTAATCGCATCTCGTCACAGTCTCACCTTTTTCCGCTCAAAAGCTCGTTGCGCTGCACCCCGGGAAAAATGCTCCTGTTCCAGGAGCATGGTTCGACTCTTCAAGATCAGTCGGAGGAAAGCGCGGCGGCGGTGGCATGCAGGTCGGGCGAATGCAGGTTGCCTGGGACGACTTGCCACCCCCATCGGCATGCAGGAACCTAAAGCTGTCACTCTTCTTGGAAGAGATGCAAGAGAAATGTTGTCGCTATGATTTTTGCACTGTAACAACAAGAAAACGGAAGGACGGCACAAGACATGTTCTGCCGCGGGAGACTTTGGTGTCCTCACACGCTGCAAATGGAGGCTCCACGCACCAAGGAGCTTCCGAAAGCTTCAATGACCGCTTCACATGTTCAAATGTGAGAGGTCAGCTCACGAAGCAGGCTGCCTGTCAACTCGTTCCCTCGATCCAACAAGGAGCCAAACGGATTGCTTTTGCCTGGCACGGAAGGAACCGCAATCCTGGCATCACTCCTGGCGCTGAACGCATGGAAAAATGCCACCTGCAAGCAGACCATCCACTTTGGGGCCCGACCTATGCATAAGCTCGAATGGCATGTCCGCATCATCCATACCTGGCCCAGGCACACAGTCGTTCGGATCGTAACATACCTAACCAGGCACCTCTCACAGCTGTCACCCCGGTTCTTAACCAGCAACTCATGGATTCGTTCTTGTCACCGGCGTTGCGACTTCATACGAAAACAACCACCTATCCTGCCCTTACCTCCCGAAGGTCAAACCCAACAGAATGAGGAGTGAAGGAGGAGCGACTGAGGTTTAAGAAACAAAGGATTTGGACAATTCCTGCAGAGCAGGAGAGGGCAGGATGCTGACAGAGGAACAATTCCTGCAGCCAGGGCCTCCTGAGCCTTAGTCGAAACTTCTGTGCGACATCCGGTAATGTCATGTTATGTTGGTCGTGGGCGGCCCTGGCCCCCTGCCAGCAAAGCAGCGAATTCAGCCGGAGCACCATCCGGATTTCCGCGTTGCCTCAGTACAATCAGCAAGGCATCGGAACATGCAGTGTAGTCATCACCCGCTTGGCTCAGGACCTGTGCGCGAAAAGATGCCTCGTCCAGCCGTTCTGCCGTTTGGGAACGACCTAAACAAGATTGGAATTCGGGCTGAGAAGCGACTCTGAGTGCCCGATGCTCGGTTTCAAGCACGCTTGCTGCGTGGGGCAAGGAAGACTGAGAAATACTCCTTTCAAGCTGCAATCACAGGCAAGTGCCCTGTCTCGGTTGGGAACGGAAACCTAGGCCTAGGCACAACCGAGATGGGGGCTTCAGTTGCAGGCCGCGAAGCAGGCCGAGCCCAGAGCCGGCCTTGTCCGACTCGTGGAACTCCGTGTTCGCAGCGCCGTGCAAGACGTGATGGCGGTCATTCCAAAAAGCCTCCTCACCAATACACAGCCTATCTCTGAGTCCGATGCAAATGTCGGGATCAAAAATCGCAGTGCAATGTTCGAAGGCAAGCTCAAAAATTTCCAGTCCCAGGCGGACAGCTTGGCATGTTCTTGCGGCCCTTTGACAAGTCGACATGCTCCATGGATGCCTGCATCGCAAATTCCGGCTTTCCGGAACAGGACCTGCAGCTGAGTCGGCCCACGGGCATGAGCTGATGTTAAGGCTGTGCCCACTGGCCCGTGTCTTGCCCCAGGCCTTTCGAGGAAACCGTTCGCCCGAGTCTTGCCGAAAGTGTCGCCTGATGTCACCCAAACGAAAACATGTTTCACGCCGCGTACAGAAACAGTGAAAGTGCTCAGCTTGCTCCACTCGGTCGGACCGGCTTTGCCCAAGTATTGAATATCAGGCATCGCTCTTTTTGCCGCATTCAGTTGACGGCCGTCGTCCATCTGTACAAACGGAGCCGCAGTCGTGCGCTCCTGAAAGAATCGGGCGTACTGCGACGCAGCCTGGCACCAGTGCCTCCTGCTCGTGGCAGGACTGCATACACCGGCCAGCCGGATCGAAGCGAGGACGGGTGTCCTGTAATCTCCATTATGCATGCTTCACTCTGCTCAAAAAGGCACAACAACAGTGTGCAAAGGATGTCCTGAAGGAACAAAACTTGCAATTTGTGTAATCCTCAATGATCTCAATGGGATACCATGGCTTTGGACAGCCAGTCCAAGCCCTCCCAAATGCCAACACCTGGTGGACACAGACGGCGTAGATATCACAAATCACGTTGATCGCAGTGAGGGAGCCTTTCGTGGCGCTCGTGGGCTGCACAAACCACTGGCGGCCACGCAGCTCGCTGAGGCCCAACTTCTCGGCCACCTCAGAGCAATGCTCTTGGTCCATCTGGGTGCTTGCGAACTGAGCTGTCACTGTCACGTGACTGGCTCGCTTCAAGATGAAGTTTGCGACAAACAAAACGACCGATGCCGATGCTTGAAACTCCTGAAAATGGAATCGCGCCTCATCCGGCGGCAAGGCATCCGGCAAGTCCTGCATTTCTCAAGATGACTCCCGCAAAAATGGCTGAGTTGACTCCTGCTTGTTGGCGAGTATCAGCAAGGCGGCCTGCGGGAGGCAGAGCATCGCCAGAGCCCAGAGCCCCTGGGAGCCGGAGGACCCTGGCCTGTCCAAGCTCCGGGTCCTTCAACATCTGCCAAAGCTCCTCTTCAAACAGCGCGAAGCCACAGCCACAGCGGTGCACAGCCCCCACTGTTTCAAGCGGGTCTCTCCTCACGTGCGTCCTGGAGACGATCGCGGTCTGTGCCTCGGCTGTGCCCTCAGGACATACCCAGAACTTCAAGCGATACCAAGCACGCAGTACCGGTCGTCTGTCAGATGAAGCCACTCCTACACTGCTCGCTCGGGTGAGGGACTCGGTGCAAGTTGCTGTTGGGGCTGGTTGAGTTTGCCTACACAGCTCCCACACAGCTTTCGCGTTGCACCCTTCAGCTTGCCCGCAACTGCATCTGGTTGGTAAGGCTGGTGTCAGTGTACGCGCATCTCCGCGCTTGAGAAAAATGCCACGCTGCTGTCCAGGACGAAGATGGCCCCATGAGTACCAAGGAAATAATGTCGCCAAAGCCGGCGAATCTTGTCCTGGCCTCCGGAGAAAACATACACATCCGTGGGATGGAGCCGTAAAAAAGGGCTCTGCAAGATTCAGCGAGGCTTCGGAATGTGAACCAACAGGAGCCTATCACAGCAAAGTACAGAGCTGGGGATACAAAAGGAAGGCTCGCGAAGTCCAGAAGGTAAGGAGCCTGAAAATCTGCGCGTGGCCCAAATTAAAGCACGAGACTGACACAGCAGGACAGCAGGGTGGGCAAAAAGCATGCAGGAGTTCTTTAGAGTTCTGCACATCAAACAACGAGCACTTGTTGAATTGCTCATGATGATGAAAGCTTGTTTGGCCCTCGCTTGGAAAATGACGACTGGATCTGCTGCTCCCACATGCGTTTGCACATGCCACTGACTCTGTTCAACTGTCTCTGGTCAGATGAGGGAGGCTTAAGAAATGCGAGTAGAGATTACAATCCTTCCCACCCATTTCCACGCTCAGCCTCCAATGTCCCAGACTGTGAATCGGATATTCCTCGCGGCAGTGACGAGAAAAGCAGTGAGCACGACACTGGTCCGCACCGAAGTGTTCCTGAACTCCACCGTCTCAACGTTGAAGCCTGGAAAGATCACATGAGCATGTCGTTCCAAGATGATGTCCGCTTGAATGATCGGCCTATCGTGGGAATGGTCATCAGTAGCTCATTCAGCTTCAACTTGTAGAGCACGGTTGTCTTTCCGGCAGCATCCAAGCCAACCATGACGATCTTCCTATCCTGGCGCAACACCAAAAAGCAACACCTCTGAAATTGCTGCGGCTGCTGTCGGCATTGGGGGTCGTCCTGCGTGCCCGCCAACCGGGTCCACATCTTCGTAAAGGACAGCCCCATCGTCACGGAGCCACCCGAGCTTTCGCGATTTGCTGGCGTTTGGGGAACTGGCTTAACTCGGAGCCAGCAAGATAGCAGAGGACGTGACACGACTGGCACGCAGCGTCGCTCTGAGGCTCTGACTCCAATCCTTCGGCTCAGGATCGAGCTTCCAGGAGACCTGGAGCCGAGCCTCCGACACAAAGAGCGCTCAGCACCGCCGCACTTCGCACTTCCGCCTCTTTACCCGGAACTCCGAGGCTCCGAGGCGCCGGCGCCGAGCTGAAAGCCCCGGGAGTAGGAGGGCTCAGCCCTGGGCCGGTCGAAATAGTCTCGACCTGGCTTTGGGCTCTGGGGTATCGGGCAGCTACAGTTAACAGCTACACAACTCAATGCTGCCGAACCGACGAAGACATGTAAGCATGGTTGCGCATGCATGCATGCATGCACGTGTGTATCACTGTATCACCTATTTATGTTTGAACTTATATTTGCTTACTCGTTCTTATTGCTGCTTATATCTCTACTCGTAATAGTAGTTTTGGTTCTAATTGTAGTTCCAGTTCTAGTTCCAATTTTAGTTCTGATTCTAGTTCTAATTCTAGTTAGTACTAGCACTAGCACTCGCACTAATACTCAAACTAGCACTAGCGCTGGCCCTAAGCCCTAGCACTAGCACTGGTACTAATACTGGCACCAGTGCTGTTGCTAGGGCTAAGGGTAGTGCTTGTGCTAGTGCTAGTGCTATTACTAGTAGCACTAATACTAATACGAGTACGAGTGCGAGCACGAGCACTGGTAGTCACCCAACCCACCCTCCTACCCACCCACGTGCGCACAGACATACATACATACATACATACACACGTACGTATTGTCTGTGTACATACGGAATTTGTCGGATTCATGTGTCTGTCGCCCGATCTACGGGACCTGCATTTTTTGCACTCCCATCATTCGAGGCCCATTGTCCGCGAACTCATGGGCTGGAAAGACAAGCAATGGAAAAGCCACGAAAAGCAGGCCAGGCAGCCAAATGGTGTTGCGCCTTGGCACTCTCAGCTCTGGCGTGGATCCAAATCACCCGTGGTGGCCTGCCGCGCTACGACCAGATGAATCCTGGCCAGCAGAACAGCAGTGCACATGCCATGTCTTCGGAGGAGACAGAAGCGGCGGCCGACATATGAGAGAAATCCAAAGACCTTTGGCCACGACCAAACGCTGTGAAGGCCGTGTCCGCAAGTTGCACGAGGACAAGCGGCATCGTCAGGCTCAGTGGCGGACTTACGAGGTGGAGATGAAGCCCACTTTCAATCGCAATCAGCGACAGTACTTGGCGGATCTGGAGAAATTGAATCAGGAAGGTCTTCAGTTGCACAACCAGGGCCAAAAGGCTGTATCAACAGGGTCCTGCTGCCATGATGGTGGAGCCGGTGGGCGACGACTCGGCCTGGGACGAGCAGATGGCGAAGGATGGGGAAGACAGGCCTGTGTGCCGAAGGTTCTTGCCATTCACCAGCGAGTCAGTCAGATGACTGGAGCGGACGGAGATCCAGGAACAGTCTTGCCCACCTTTGATCACACGAGTGCCCCGTCGATGGCATGGCTTGGGGGAGCTCTGCAAGCTCCATAGTGCCGTACAATGCGTCAAACAGCACACTGCGATCTCGGATCCACCACTCATACATAGACAGCATGGTCTGCCGCCGCCAGCAGATGGAGCCAGTGGAGTGACCCATCGAGAACCTGGGCCAACGGAGCCAAGCTCCTACACGGCCACAAGGAATGCTGCGACTCCTCCTCCGCCGGGCCGGATAACCACAAGCAAGTCCTCCCTCAGAGGCGCCCGGCTGCTGCCCTGGAGACACTGGACAGCCTACGAAGTCAGGCATCCTGGACGACGATCACGAAGATGCGATCCTTTCCGCACAGGAAGGTTTTTTTTTTGGAAATCTGGAGTGACGCAGGAGATTGTCTCGCAGTCTCTGGGTTTCCACAATGGGGATCTGAAACTCCCGACAGGGCCTGTGAGCGATAGAGACATGGGGGTCACTCTGTCCCTCCGAGATCGCCTTCGGGAAAGTTTCTTTTCTTCTCTTGGCTGATGACAATCGGTCTCGCAGCTTTCTTCGGGTAGGCTGCAGCGCCGGGTTGCGCTTCGTCCGCCACGCCGCGCGGATTTTCACCTTCCCTTCCCTTCGACGAGGGCTGGCTTTCTCCTTCCTGTCTGGGTTCGATTGGAGGGGTTGGTCGGTCTTCCTGGTCATCCTCGCGAGATCCCTGGGCACATTGAGCTTTTGTGCTCCGGGGGAGAAGCTGATGGCAGTAGTCCACCTGCTGGCGGGGCTGCTGAGGCAGTTTGGGGTGACGTGCTGTCCATTTCCGGTGAAACAGGGCCATCCTCTGACGTAAGTATTGAGACAAGTGATCCATCTGCCTCAACTGCCGCAGTGCCTGCTTTCTTTCAGGGGTCCTTTTTCATCCTAGGCCAAGATTGCATTCTCGAGTGGGTCGTGGTGCATTTGCCGGCCTCCGTAGTGTCGCAGAAGCCATTGCTCTTGTCAGCGCTGCCAGATCTCCGCAAAACCATGAAAGATTTCCAGTTCTGTTCCCCGTCCAACTGCAGCCGTGGGGACAAGCTGCCCTCCTTGTCTCCATTCCATCCTGGGATGTTGCAGGGGCCGTTGTTGCCTTTGACTGCAATGGTATTGACGGCAAGGTTTTTAGTGTTGCCGTGATGGGTCCTTCGACGGATCCTAGAGTTCTTGAGCATTTGTTGCCATTCGGCACAGGGATGACTCTCTTTTCTCGGGTGGGCCAGCGGCCCTGTGAGCGAGCCCGCTACTGGATAGGGGCCGATTGCCAGTCTGCGTTGAATGGTGAGCATTCAGCTCTGTTCTGGGCGCTGACATGGACCTGTCCCAAGCACTATCTGGACGAAGGGGAATATCGATGTCGATGAAGGCTGCCAATCTTCGAGCCAGCACCCCGTCGACGTCACCTGGATGGACAACTGCACCTTGCTTTTCTTTTCTGCTTCAGCCTCGGCTGTCCTTGAAGGCACCCGCCACATAGTTCATAGCTGCCATCATGATTGATGAATGTGTCCGTGCCATCCTCACCGCACCCCCGAACTTAGGGCCTGGAAAGACTGACAATTAATTCCTGCAAGGTAGGGGCCCGGTAGGGGTGCCAGGACCTCTTGCATTCAGGCCTTTGCAAGCGGCGGCCCAAGTCTTGAGCTCCCCTCGGCGATGTGGCGTGGATCCCGACTTCGAGCTGCGCCAAAGTACCGCCATCTAGGCGGTAATTATTATCCACCACTCAGTACCTTTGTTGCATCAGGTCAAGTCGCGAACTGGTCATGCATGGACTGCTTTCCGAAAACATCAGAAGCGCATCTTTTGCTCGACAGACATAAGTCGATGCGCGAGATAAGGCGATCATCTTTGAGTCTGGTGTCTTGTCTGCGGTTGCATTCGCTGCCGGTTCTTGGTCTCCTACGAAACCTGATGAGCTTGCGCCAATTCGCACGCGCTCTTGCAGATAGCTCGGCTTATGTTGAAGCCACGTTACTTCTTCGAACACGCTTGTCATCTGCCTCCAACGCTTGCTCTTGCCTTGCTAGAGTGCCTCAGGCAGCCGACATTGTTCATGTTGAAAGGCTTCGTCATCTTGCGTTGATTGTTAGCTTGGGGCCCTCTGAATTGTGGGCCATTCTCCATGCGGAGATGCATTGGCTTCGCCTTGCAAAGGACTCGGTCCAATGGCTGGTGCTGTGGTTGCCGGTGGCCCTGAGACATGGCAGGACTGCCTGACATCTGGAATTTTCCCGGAAGATGGAAGTCGTGGATTCGCAAGGCCCGTCACGCCTCACTGCTCATGGACCGGTGGCTTGCCGGAGTGCAGTTGATTGATGGACTTGCGTTGCGCCTTCTTGTTGCCCTTGGTGCTTGTCATTCTCCTGTAGCAGCCGGAAAAACATACCGAGATCTGTGCAGTGTGTCGGAGGGTTTCAAGGGTCTTCTTCGCTCATGGTCACACCATGCTTTTAAACGGCACGGTGGTATTCGACCTTGTCGATGGATGTCAATGCCCTGTCTGCCTCAAAACCTTTGATGCAAACCGGCGCCTGTGCAATCACCTAGGAACAATCGTGCTTGTCGTGATGCATTGTCTGCCGCACAGCACCAAGTTCAGCCTTGCCAGGACGGGGCTCGAGGAAGTTTGAGGACGGGTCTGATTCTCTTGAATTGTTCCCACTATGCAGGCTTCTGGCCCTGCACTAACGTGGGACTTTGCTCCGACTGTCCCAGAGCAGGACTCACCGTCTGAGGAGGTTCTGTGCAGCCTTGAATCCATCCTTTGCCATGAGGCTGACTCCTGTGCCTCACATGTTGAGCTTCTTGGTCTGCTCAGGGAGGCTTTCACGGTTGCCTGTCTTCAGAGAACTCGACTACATGGCACAGCTCCTTGCATCAGCATCTTCAAGAAGATGAAGAGTGGCCTCTTCAATGGATTGGATGGCATCTCAAAGCCTCGTCATGCCTCCTCAGCACTGACTTGGGTGAGTGGGTTGCTCCTGATGCTGTTTCTGGCGAGGCCAGCGCTAATGCCTTCAGGGATGTTTCCGCCATTCTCCCCTGGCTTGACTTCAGCCACATTGATTTGCCACCACGGGAAAGTTCCCAGCTTGAGGTCTCTTGTCTTTGCTAGGGATTCCGACCTCTCTGTTTATCCCCCTGCGACTGAAGTGCGCCGTCAACCTGCTTGCTTCCGTGCTCCTGCCCTTGTTGACTTTCATGCTGTCGGGGGTACTGCCGGTCGCTCTGTCATGTTCTGTGATGCAAAAGGACTTCTTTCCTCTTTCGAACCTCCTTGCCTGCTTCGGCCTTTTGACAACCTTGAGGGTGAGCTTCAAAAACCCCGGTGGTTTGGGGACCTGCTGCAGGGCACGCTGCACCTGCGGTCGCTTGGACTTGGCGCTATCGTTGCTGTACCACACATCAGTTGCCCGGTGC